GATCAAGGCAGGATGGGATGGGATGGGATGCGATGCGATGGAGTGGGATGGCATGGGATGGGATGGGATGAGGGAGGGTGGGATGGGGTGGCACAGGATGGGACAGGATGGGATGGGACAGAATGGGACAAGATGGGACGGAACAGAATGGGACAAGGTGAGATGGGATAGAATGGGATGGGACAGGAGAGATGGATCAAGGCAGGATGGGATGGGATGGGATAGGATGGGGTGAGATGAGATGGGATGGGATGGGATGAGATGGGTCAAGACAGGATGGGATGGATAGGATGGGATGGGATGGGAGATGAGATGAGATGAGGAGACAAGACGGGATGGAATGGAATGAGATGAGATGAGATGAGATGAGATGAGATGAGATGAGATGAGATGAGATGAGATGAGATGAGATGGGATGGGATTGCATGGGACAGGACTAAACGGGCTGAGATGACACAGGACAAGATGAGATGGGATGGGTCAAGTTGAGATGCGATGGGTCAGGACAGGATAGGATGGGTCAAGATGGGTGAAGATGGGATGGGGTGGGATCACATGAGATGAGACTAAATGGGATAAGGCAAGATGGGACAAGATAAGAAGGGATGAGATGGGATAGGTCAAGATGGGATGGGTTGGGATGGAATGGGATGGGATGAGATGTGATGTGATGGGACAGGAGAAGATAGGATGGGAAGAGATGAGACAGGATGGGACAGGATGGGACAAGATGGGACAAGACAGGATGGGAGAAGACAGGACAGGATAGGAGGAATGCCCTTTGGCTCCCGCGTTACCCCCAGCCGTACTTCTTGGAAGGTTTCCAGCAGGCGCAAACAGTCACCAGGGTGACGAGGAGGAAGATGCCGCCCGTGGAGAGGATGATGTAGAGGGAGCTCCGGCCTGGAGGAGAAGAATGAGGGGGGATAACCCCCCAAAATTTTAGCTAGAAGCGTCTGCAAGGGATGGCCAGCCCTGAGGGTGCGGGAGGGGAGGACGGGTGCCTTACGGTAGACGGTGAGCTTCACAGGGACGCTACGGCCGTGGCTGATGGGGTTCTCCACCAGGCAGCTGTAGACGTCGTCGTCGGCCATGAGGACGCGGGTGATGGTGAGGATCTTCTGGTCAGGGGAGAGGAGCAGGCGGGAGTCGTTGCTCAGTGGCCGCCCGTCCTTCAGCCAGGTGTAGGTGGGCTTGGTGCCGTTCTCGTGCGAGCAGTTGAGGGTGAAGAACTCGCTGAGCTCCAGCACTGTTGAGGAGGCCACCAGCACTTGCGGCTTCGAGATGGGGACTGCGGGCGAGCGGGGGAACCACGGTGACGCCGTGTCGCGGGCGACGGATGGGCCCAAGGGATGGGAAGGGAGACATCAAAACCCCAACAGGGATGTAGCTTGGCTGCATGGGGTGGTTGAACCCCGAAACCACCTCCCAGTTGGAGAAAACCCTCCCAAAAAGTGATCAGGGAAGACATCCCATGGAGAACCCAATCTCCACCGGACATCCTTCTTGAGCTTACTGTCCACGGTGAGGTTGATGGTCTTCTCGCCGGTGAAAGTGTCATCGGTGATGGACACCTCCACCTCATAAGCACCTTCATCGGCCAACTGCAAGGGGCTGATGAGCAACGAGCCGTTCTCCAGCACCCGGATACGATCGCGATAATCGGGCCGTAGGTTGCCGATGATCTCTGTGCCGATGGACTGGACGACGGTGACGGGTTTGTCACGCTTCAGTTGCCACTTGACCACCGGTTTGTCGGCGCTGGCGCTGGCATAGCGGACCGACAGCAGCGCCGCTTTGCCCGCCGTGCCGCGGACCAGCGGCGTGGGGCTGGTGATGTTCACCCCCACCAGGAGACCTTGGGGTGGGGAGAGACAGTGGGGTGCTGAGTCCGGGCACGCTACATCATCCTCCGAGCCCAGAGAAAAAGGAGGAACCCCGTCCCGGAGCTGTGCTGAGCACCCCCAAAATGCGTTACCGCAAAGATGCATGCATTGCCCCCAAAATTGCGGAGGGGCGTTAGATTTTTTGCATCCCAGCCCCGTTGGGTTCTCCGGTCCAGCCAAAGCCCCCCCTACTCCCCCTCTCTGGATGCAAAACTGCATCACGGGGTTCGGTGCACGTGCGTCGCTCCTCATTGCTGGTTTTAAGCCAAAAAAAGGCAGGGAAAAAGTGGGAAAAAAAAATATATAATTTTTTGAGGGGAGGGAGACTCCCCAAAACAGCCTCTTTCTCCAAAACACCGTAGCCTCGCCGCCCCCTCACCAGCTCCGGGGTCCCATCCGCAACCCCCCCCATCCGGATGCCGTCATCCGACAGTGAACAAACCTCATATTGAAGTGGGGGAGAGAGTGGGGAAAGCCAGCTGGGAAGGGCGAAGTGGGAGCAAGAAAGGCTTTAAACAAGCCCAAAAAGTCACGGGACCTATTGGTATGCAGCGTCCGTCCGTCTGTCCTCCCCGGCAGCGCAGAGCTCGGCCCCGAAAACATTCCCCGACCCGAAAAATTTAGGGGATCCCCATAGAAAAAAACCCAACCCTGGGATAAGGATGCGGCTTTTAACGCATCCTTGCACCCCTAAATCACTGCTTTTGAACCGTTTCTTCCCTTTTTTAACCCAATTGCTAAGTTTTGCTTGGCTCTGGGTAATAAATTTGGGAGTTCATGAATAAATCGGGCAATATTCCCATCTCCGACAGCATCCTTGGCTTAGGGATGGAGATCTCCCATCCTTTCTTGCTGACCCCCCCCCGCCCAAATCCTCATTTTCCCACTATTTCATGGAATAAATCCCTATTTCTTTGGAAAACGCACAGCAGCATTTTTGGGGTGCCCTGGCTGCCACCCAAGCCCTTTTTTGGGGTGCAAATCAAAGCCATCAGCGTTCAAAACAGACTGGATTCGATTTGTATCCTCGGTTTATCCGGAGGGAAACGGGGACCTTCCCCGGGGCTGGTTTTGGGTTCAAACGTTGATAAAATGGTGTAAAATCACTGCGGGTGATTTTCCCGCATTGCCGGACCGGGGATGGGGTGGTTTGGGGATCCCTGAATCCCAAAATGTAGGGATTTAGGGAATAAATGATGGAGGCAACTGGGGTTGCAGGAGGATGGGGTGAACGGGGAATGAACCTGGAAACGGGGTAAAAAAGGGGCTTTTTGGGGAAAGTTGAAGGATCGCTAAGAAAAGAGATTTGGGGCTGCTGAAAAATGAGCCAAAAAGGGGTTTGGGGGGAAGATTAAAATCTGGGGAGAAGTTTGGGGGGAGGCAGTGCTGGATCCATCCCCCAGCAGGACCCGCTTGGCTCCGGAAAAATGTTTTTCCCACTTTTTATTCCTCATTTCCCCCCTTTTTTTTTTTCCCTCTCCCAAACGGAGGGGATGCTCAATGGTGCA